CTGCTACGTGAAGAGGACACCACAGCTTCAGAGCCAGCATTACCCCGGGAGGACAACAGATATCGCTGTGTGACGCAGAGTAGGGAAAAGTTATGTGGCCCTTACAGAAAAACGTTTGGGGACCCCTGTCCTAAGTGGAACTTTGGTTTAAATTTAGACCCTACTTGAACAGTWCACTGTTTATTGCCACGGAGGATGTACAAAAGAGAATGTGCATATTTACTCATTACACACACAGCTAAAACTAGCATTAGGAGAGATGCTCAGGAACAAATGCTGTGGTTCTTGATCTCTCAGGGAATTAGAYGATTTTATGAAAATATTCCAAAGAAAGAAAGAGGCTATTTCCCTTTAGAATGCCAGCTTTGCTCTCTGTGACCCTGACAACAGCCAGCACACAGCTCACATGCACCTGAATCTTTGAACACTGTCCCGCTCTGACAATACTACACAAAGAAACATCCACCCTACCACAGCCAGCTCTCACAAATCATTCAAACACTTCAAAACTGGGAGCATTTCCACAACCTACACAATATAAACATACAGTATTAATGACAATTTCTTACAACCCTAACTCTACAATTTTCTGACAATCTGTCATCTTTTGCTTTTCACRTCAGAAGGGTGGGGGAAATTGGCATCTGAACGTTTCTATAACAACAAACAGACCTGTAGTTGTTGTGTTTGTCTGTTCATAATTAGATACGTATGCTCACATCACACAGCAGCAGCTAAGAATGAGCCTGGTGACAAAAGGAAAAAGGCTCAGCAGTAAAGAACATCAAAGTCATCATCGAGTCGAAACAAGAACAAACAGTGCAGCAGTAAAAACACACAACAGCATGAACATTTTACCTCAACTCAGAGGAGATTCCCGTAGGACATAATACTGAGCCAAAATTTAAAAAAAGAGTCTTTACATAAAACAAGAAAAGGATAAAGGCCCCCACATACTCGGGCGTACTGTGTGAGGTCCGTGAGCCATGTGGACTCAGTACATATTGTCATACTACATACTCCAGAGTACTGACCGCCTGACAAATTCTTTAATTTCTCACAATTTCAGTCATGATGCCAAAGATGAAGAGGAAGAGATAGTAGCTGGGTTTCCATCACAAATGTGTGCAAAACTTTGTCGATATTCTGTTTGTTGAAAAAACACAGTTTCACAACTGCAGTGTTTCCATTAAGTAAGAAATGTTATTAAAGTCAC